TTGATGTTAAAAATGGACCGCGGGCTCAGCCCCATCGGTGAATGCCGCCCCGGCGTGGTGTTGGTGTACTCATCCCCGCAGCTTGGAAAAGCCTGGAAGTGGATCTGGTTCTGCGGCAGGCTCCAGGCATGGCGACGCCCACAGGACACAGGCTCACAGGGCTAAGGTGACCCAAAGGGAGGGCCTGTTGTGTGTTCATGCGCCCACCCCCTCACTGCACATGTCTGAAACTTTGACATTGGTTTAGCATACCAATTGCAGGCGAAGTCGGCTTCTTGAACTTCTGTGCAGGGCTGGGAGGTGAAGTGTGGCTCCGGCAGCTGCCCCTACATGTACGGCCTTTGTTACAGTTCTCGCCCACATTTAAGGCTTTCCTTTTCTTCTTAAATTGTATTTATTTTTATTCATGTGTTTATTTTTTACACACTGCCCTGCATTTTGCTTTATTTATTCATGAGTAACTCCTATAAACTCTTCCAGGTCTGCTGTTGGAGCTCTGATTCAGTCTTGTCTTTGCCAGTTTTTTAAGTTATGGTAAGATACACATAACATTTATCATTACATTTTTAGGGTACCGTCCGGTGGCATTGAACACACTGACCTTGTTATGTGACCGTCACCACCCTCCTTCTCTAGAATCCATTTCATCTTTCCAGACGGAACATCCACCCCCATTAAACACTCACACCCCTTGCCCCCTGCCCAGTCCCTGGTGACCTCCCGTCTGCTCGCTGTCTGGGATTCGGCTCCTCTGGGGACCTCACGTCAGTGGAATCGCACAGCGTTTGTCCTGAGTGACTGCCTGATGTCACCAAGCCTCTTGTCGTTCCTGGGGGTTCACCCACCTCGGAGCAGGTGCCGGTGTTTCCATTTCCCCCCTTTCCAAGGCCGAGTGGCACTCCATTATGCGCATGCCACATTGCATTCTCCATTTGTTCCTCAGGGCACACCTGGTGTCTTCCACCTGCCGGATGTTGTGAATGGTGCCGATCTGAGTGGGGCTGCTATACAAATATCTCTTTGAGACCCTGCTCCCAGTTCTTTTGAATATGGACCCAGAAGTGGAATTATTGGATAATATGGTAATTCTCTTGTTAATGTTTTTTAATATTTATTTATTTTTGAGAGAGCGTGAGCAGGGGAGGGCAGAGAGAGGGAGACACAGGATCCGAAGCAGGCTCCATGCTCTGAGCTAGCTGTCAGCACAGAGCCCAATGCGGGGCTTGAACCCATGAACTGTGAGATCATGACCTGAGCTGAAGTCACACACTTAACTGACTGAGCCCCCCAGGTGCCCTTGCTGTTAATGTTTTGAGGAACCTCTGTATTGTTTTCCACAGGGGCCACCCCATTTTATGTACCCGTTAATAGTGCACCAGGGTTCCAATTTCTCCACATCCTCACCAACACTTATTTTCTGGTTTTGTTTTTGTTTTAAGATATTTATTTATTTACTTGATTATTTATGAGAGGTGCAGACAGAGAGAGAGAATCTTTTTTTAATGTTTATTTATCTTTGAAAGAGAGACAGAGCATGAGCAGGGGAGGGGCAGAGATAGAGGGAGACACAGAATCTGACAGAGGCTCCAGACTCTGAGCTGTCAGCACAGAGCCTATGTGGGGCTCAAACCCACGAACCCATGAGATCATGACCTGAGCCAAGGTCAGACGCTTAACCCACTGAGCCACTCGGGCACCCTGAGAGAGAATCTTAAGCAGGCTCCACACCCAGCGCCGGGCCTGTTGTAGGGCTCCATCTCATGACCCTAGGGTCATGACCTGAGCTGAAATCAAGAGTTGGACACTTAACCTACCAAGCTACCCAGGTGCACTGGGTTTATCATTTTTTTTAAAGTGATACCTGACCCCTCCATGAGGCTTGAACTCACAACCCCAAGGTCAAGAGTTGCATGCTTCATCAGCTGAACCCTCCGGGCGCCCCTGTTTTGTTTTACTTTGTTTTGTTTGTGACTGACCCATCGAATGGGTGTGAGGTGCTATGTCAGTGTGGGCGTGATTTCCATTTTCCTGATGAGTGATGTTGAGCATCTTTTCGTGTGCTCACGGCCCATTTGTGTGTCTTCAGAGAAATGTCCATTCACATTTTGTACCCATTCTTGAGTTGGGCTGATTTTTTTTCCCTTTGAGTTAAACGAGTTCTCCATTTATTCTGGATATTAACCCCTTATTAGATGCACGATTTGCAAAAATTTTCTCCTATTCTGTGGGAATATCCGTATGGGTGGTGCCTTTTGATGTCCAAAAGTTTCTAATTTGCATGAAGTCAGATTTGTCTATTTTTTTCTTTTGTCATTAGTGCCTTAATTTTTTTGCCATGTATCTTTTTTTTTTTAATGTTTATTTTTGAGAGACAGCGAGAGGGGGAGGGGCAGAGAGACAGGGAGACGGCAGATCTGAAGCAGACTCTGCACTGACAGCAGACAGCCTAATGTGGGGCTCGAACTCACAAACCATGAGATCTCGACCCGAGCTGAAGTCAGATGCTTAACCGACTGAGGCAGCCACAGGCACCCTGCCACCACGTGTCTTTTCTAAATGGGAAAATATTTTTTTCTCACAGTAAAAACCAATCAATACTCAGCATAAACAAAAACAGTGTAAATACGAAAGCCACGGAGAAGGGAGTCAGAGTCACCCAGACGCCTGTGCGCTGTCCCAAGATATGTGCTGACTCTGACGTGTGTCGGGTGGCGGTCGCGGTGCCCACTTCCCGTGTGGAGTCCGTGCTTACCTGATAGCTGGCTCCCAGCCTAAGAGCTCTCCCTGCAACGGGGGACAGGGGAGAGGCGTGCCATTCACACCGGGTGGTCGAGTGTGCGTGGCGTAAGCTATGAGGTGTGATAAGTTAGTGGACTCACCGTTTACAGTATAACTGTATATTCTCTGTGCCCATGAGCAAAGCACCATGGAGGACGCCATGTGGCCTGCTGCTGGCTCTGGGCTGGCAGCGAGAGGTCCCTGACCTGGATGGGGTCCTGATTGCTCAGCTGGAGTGCTGGGCGGTGCCCGGTCCTGCTGACATAGGTTATCTGTGGACTAAGAACAGAACCTTAGACACTAAATGTACTAGAGGACTAAAAGCTGATAGTGTTTGGTTCTAATACACACGTTCTTGTTAAAAGAATAGAAGCTTTCTCTGAGCTTAGAGCCACGTCCGGGACGGGAAGGGGGCCCCGAGGTCCCCACCTCTGCTGGGGAGCAGACTCGCCTCACTGGAGCACTGGGGCTGCCTCCAGGCTGAGCGCAGCTCCCTCTGGCCGTAGCCAGTGCCATCCCGTCCCCTTGGCCTCCAGCACCAGTGTCTCTGTGTCTGTTCCAGAAAAGCCAGGAAACACTTACCCGTTTGTGACAGACAGACACAGGTGGTGTCCAGACTTCTAAGGAAGCAGGACCCTTCCAAGCCCCTTCTGTTCACCAGACTGAACTTTGAGTAAGAAGAAACTTGCACGTGTGACTTCAGTCCCTGGGAGAGATGGGAAAGTATGGGGTAGAGGTCATGTTCATGTTCGTGTGCCCTACCGTGACTCCTGTGTAAGTGCTTTCTACAGCGGATACCACGTGGTCACGGAGAAGAAGCACATGTGATAACGCATGACCACGTGGACAAGCCAAAGTACGTACCATGCGAGTCCTTTGAATCTGGGCCTTCCGAGGGCCCAGAGACCCCTCCCGGGAGCCGCAGGCAGGGCGAGGTCCGTTCCTTCACTGTGTGGCCACGCTTGCCCATCCCTTCATTTCAGAGCACGCTCTCTCCCTGCGCCCGCTGGCTCTTCCGGGTTGGAGGCCATGCCCTCGGGGAGCCTGGCGGGCCGTAAGGAACCCAGCACACTCATCCTGTAGCTCCTCAAGCAGGTCCCTGACTGTCCTTTCTGAGCCTCCCTGCGCGTGTGGGTTGTGTTACGTATGTAGTGGTCTAGTTGTACGCGGGCAGATCTGCGTGGAGCCAGGTGAGGCACTGCAGGCGGCACGTCCTGTCCACTCTGGGCTGGCGGCCCCTGCCCCAGGCCGCCTACACTCCCCAGCTGCCTTCATCCTGGCAGTTCTAGGACACAGCCTCTTCTTCCCTGTGCTGCCTGGGACAGGACCGCTGCTCAGAGCAGCTGTCAGACAGGACTGGCCCCAGGAAGGGGTCCTCTGGCATTTTGGGGATTGACCTTGACTGTGGTGGACGACAGCTTTTATTTAGTGGAAGTTGTAAGGGAAGCGCATATCTGTTGTCTAGCCTGCATCACCCTCCCCTGCACAAGGGTGGCAGCCTGCTGCTCGACTCGGCAGGGGTGAGGCCCCAGCACCCGCTGACATGCACAGCTGCCCTCCTGCACCCGCCTTCCCTCTACCCCTGCCACAGCCATGCCTCCACTGATGCCTGGCCCCTCCTCAGGAACACCAACAGGCTCCTAGTGCCTGGAAAGCTGTCGCACAGACCCACTTTCAGCTGCCTGGTGCACCCTCCCTCTGTCCCCAGTGACCTCGAATGTGCCCTGCCCTTTCCACACAGAGGGAGCAGATGGGGCCCAGGGCCCAGCACGCGTCCGCCACACACACGGGCCTGCCTCCGATGTGTTTATTAGGATTAACTGTACGCAGCAAAAGGTTTTCTTGGGAGGCTGGGGCATCTTTAGCCTTATTGTAAATTGCAGGATGTATTAAACTTTAACCTTGTGTGTTTGTTTCGCTGACCGCCTCTCTGTCATCTTCAGCACCTCCCGGTCATGAGGGTCTGTGTTCTCACCCCAGACTGGTCTGTCAGCTGCACCCACCCCGGGCCCCTCGAAGCAATGCTAGTCGGATTACATGGAGGAGCTGAAGCCCGCCAGGCAGCCCCACAGAGCCTGATCTGTGGGGGATGGGGTGGCAGCAGAGGGGCGGGGACACTGACCACGGGGACACTGTCCGCGAGGCAAGCACCGTCTGCACAACCCAAGGCCCTGTCCTTACCTGCACGCGCTCTCTAATGTGGCTCTGTGTTGCCTTTCCAGGGTCCCAAGAGCAGGTCCGCCCTACATGAAGCTGACGTGAAGGCACCCGGGTGGCAGGGCCCGCGGCACGTCCGCGCGCAGGATGAGCAAATCCCGGCTCTTCCGCCTGTGGCTGGTCTTGGGGTCCGTGTTCATGGTCCTCCTGATCATCGTTTACTGGGACAACGTGGGCACGGCCCACTTCTACCCGCATACTGCCTTCCCCAGGCCGCACCCCACGCCCGCGCGTGGGGCACAGGAGGAGCTCACGGCTGATGTGGACGCCTTTTTGCAGAAGCTGATCAGTGGCCTGAAGCAGAGCGCCCCCTCCGATAGAAGGACGGAGCCGCCATCGGCGCAGGCGTCGGCCAGGCCCGTGCTGAGCAACGCAGAGGAGAGCGTGCGAGGCTACGACTGGTCGGCGCGCGATGCGCAGCAGGGCCCGGACCCCGGCGGGCAGCAGGCCGAGCGGAGGCGCGTGCTCCGCGGGCTCTGTGCCAACGCCAGCTTCGTGTTCCCCACCAAGGAGCGCTCTTTCGACGACATCCCCAACTACGAGCTGAACCACCTCATCGTGGACGACCGCCATGGCGTCATCTACTGCTATGTGCCCAAGGTGGCCTGCACCAACTGGAAGCGCGTGATGATCGTGCTGAGTGAGAGCCTCCTGGAGCGTGGCGCCCCCTACCGTGACCCGCTGCGCATCCCCCGGGAGCACGTGCACAACTCCAGCACGCACCTGACCTTCAACAAGTTCTGGCGCCGCTACGGCAAGTTCTCCCGCCACCTCATGAAGATCAAACTCAAGAAGTATACCAAGTTCCTGTTTGTGCGGGACCCCTTCGTGCGCCTCATCTCCGCCTTCCGCAGCAAGTTCCAGCTGGAAAACGAGGAGTTCTACAGGAAGTTTGCTGTGCCCATGCTCACCATGTACGCCAACCGCACCGGCCTCCCCGCCTCCGTCAGTGAGGCCTTCAGCGCGGGCCTTAAGGTGTCCTTCGCCAACTTCATCCAGTACCTGCTGGACCCGCGCACCGAGAGGCTGGCGCCCTTCAACGAGCACTGGCGGCAGGTGCACCGGCTGTGCCACCCGTGCCAGATCGACTACGACTTCGTGGGCAAGCTGGAGACTCTGGACCAGGATGCCGCCCAGCTGCTGCGGCTCCTCAAGGTGGACGGGCTGGTGCGCTTCCCCCCAAGCTACAGGAACCGGACCGCCAGCAGCTGGGAGGAGGGCTGGTTTGCCTCCATCCCGCTGGCCTGGAGGCGCCAGCTCTACAAGCTCTATGAGGCTGACTTTGTCCTGTTTGGCTACCCCAAGCCCGAGAACCTCCTCCGAGACTGAGGTGGGGCCGTCCTGGCATTGGGGCCAGCCGGGCCCGGGCGGTCTGCCACCCCACGGCCGTCTCCCGAGGCGGGTGTGTGGGCCCCCCGCGTGTGTGTGCTCAAGGCCCCGTCTCCCTGCCCACCCGGCCCACAGGACATGCAGCGCTCCCGCCAGCCCAGTGGCTGGGGGCCACCCCACACTCCAGTTTTTTCAATAACCCACGGTTTTGCAGCCCAGATGTACCGTTTACTCTGCTGCCTGAGTTCACGGGGTACTGTGTTAATATTGTTTTCTAAGATTAATATATTTCAGATATTTAATACGAAAGGGGCAGAAGGAAAGAATGGAGTAAATGTTACACCTGCTTCTCCTGCCTGCTCTCGTGGTTATTCCGGCAGGGCGGCGAGGGCACGGGAAGGGATTCCCAGGGCCTTAAGCGCTGATGCTGTGACCTTGGAAACTCGGGTAGAGGAAGGGAATTCTCGTGGTCGTGTGCCACAGAAAGGAGGACCCTGCGCTTGAAATCGGGCCTCCGCTGTATTTTTAAACGGGTAGCAGGCAGCTCTCCTCGAGTGAAAGCTCCCTTGCTGTGTGATACTTCTGGAAAGGAGAGGCAGTTAGGAAGAGTCACACTCCAGGCCACTCACAAAGCAGGCTGCTCACTTTGGCTGCTCCTGTGAGTTTATAAACCCCGGACGCCAGGATGTGCTATGACAGGGGTGCCATGAGGACTATCCCGAGAATCGATTCCTGACGTCAGCAAGGTGAGGCTCGCATGACTGACCCTGGGACCGTCACGTGTGGTGGCCCTGACTTGGGAAAGGCATCCTGTTGGCTAGTCCGGGAAGGCTCTTTTTAAGATCCTGGTTCAGATTTATGTGCAGTTTTGGCCACGACCGTGCAGTTGGTGAGAGATGGCAGTCCGTCCGCAGTGCGCGGGGCTCACGTTGGACCTTGCGTCCTTGAAGTGTAGCATCTGGTCCCGGACGCCCGGTCCCCGAGAGCGGCAGTGCTCGCAGGAGTCCTGCCCCCAGCCCCCCCCTTGGTGCGCGGTGTCCTTACAGGTCCTGGTTTTGAGATGGCACCAGGGCTCGTCTGAGCACGTGGCTTCAGGGCACTCACCTCCGAGACTCGGGGCTCTGCCGTGTGCCAAACCACCTGCTTCCCCTTTTTAGAAAACAGTTGGCAGCAAAGATCCTCGAACTCGGGAGTCCGGCTTTAGAGTAACAGCGGAGCCGTGAGTCACCACGGTGGGGCCTCCTGGGACATCCGTTTGCTTAGTCTGTGGCACTGAGAACGCTGGGCTTCAGGGTGGCTCTGCCTTCAGGGACCCCTGCGATTCTATGGTAGACATGCGAGCAGGGACCCCCATCCCAGGCCAGTGGGCTGAGTGCCTTCAGAACAAGGCGTCTGTGGGGTGACGTGAGGCAGGCTTCCTGGGAAGGTGGTGGTTGGCGCGGCCTGAGGGGCGGGGAAGCCGCGGACGTCATAGAGCAGTGACATCAGCAGGTGTGCAGGGACTGTCCGTAGAAGGTAGGTACCGACTGTTGTGACACCTTCGACAGTTGCCAAAACATTTGCATGCCGTCCTGTTGACATCATGGTCTGTGGTACAGGACCCTCTTGCATGTTGTCCCGGAGCCCCCAGCATGGCCACTGGGCCACTGTGCCCGTCCTCTGTCAGGAACAGAGATGTGGGAGGGACCCAGCACCCAAGGCACATGTTTGCGTGCAGGTATGAGAGAGACGCTGTCGGCCCTCGTTCCTCTAAAACTGGTATGTTTTCACGCACTGACGCAGAGCACCCACTTATAGCTTCTAATGCACCCTTAGGGGGCCTTATGTTGCTTTCACCATCTGTTTTGAAGGATTTTCTTTTAGAAGAATTTTAGGGGCACCTGCGTGACTCCGTCACTTGAGTGTCCAGCCCTTGATCTCAGCTCAGGTTTTGATTTCAGGGTTGTGAGTCCAGGCTCCGCTTTGGGCTCCACACTGGGCGTGAAGCCTACTTAAAAAAGAAAAATCTTAAGTCTGTTTTTTGGCAAGGGTCAGGGTCTCGTTTCCTCTTCCTGGTGAGGTTGGTGTGACCTATGCACCTGCACCCAGCGTTTGGTGAAGGTGGGGCTTTAGCCGGGCTCGACCACTCACAGGGAGCCATTGGCAGAGCGGTCCCTGCTGCAGGATGGGCCCGCCTCCCCAGTGCAGGCCTGTCCCCAGGCAGCGCGTGGCCAGGGCTGGCAGGGAGTTATTCCCACCCCTGGGCTGTGCCAGGTGCCTGAGTGTGGGAGGCAGGGGCGTGTCGGTGACCCAACAAGGCAGAGGCCTTGAGAAGCACAGCCGCCCTACCCACGTGCGCCCTGAAGCTCAGTTTCAAAGCCCGCACGGAGCCCCTGGCATCTCAGGACCGCCATCCAGCCAAGTCCCTGCACTCAGGCGTGGACAGTCACAGCTCCTGTGATGGTCTATTCTGCCCGTGCACCTGCGCCTGGGGCAGGGCCCGCGCGCGTGGGCACACGCTGCCGCCTGTGGAGCGAGCGAAGGGGTGGTGCCACAGAGCCTCATCCCGAACCATCCAGGGTGACTGCCGTCACCCACTCCAGCCGTTTGTGAGGCGGCCTTGGCTTGTGCAGGTTCTGCGACTGGCCCTGAGTGGGCACAGAACTCACTGCTTCTGACTTCCAGCACTTTCTAAGCACCATGTTTTCTGTGCGGCTCGTGCTGTTCCTGGGGAAGTTACTGTCCCCTGAAAGATGCTCCAGCTCGCCCTTTCCCCCATGCCGGAGGGGCTGAGGCTGCCGTATCTACACTCGTCTCCCATAGCCACCTGCCGAGGAGGCCTGCGGTCACCAGGAATGGCCTGGCCGCCCTCTCTCTCCCTGCCCCTCGTCCCAAGAGGGCTGGAGACTGGGGTCTGCAGCGGGCTAGGCTGGCCGTGGCGCATGGCCACGAACTCGTGGACTGACTGAGCACCTGCATGGCCCCCAGGCAGCCCTGTGAGTGCCACTAGCCCTCACGGTGTGGCCTCTGTCTCCATGGGGCTCTGCTGGTGGAGCCGCTCCCGCCCCGCCAGGCTGGCTGAGCCCCTCCCCGAAGATTTCCAGTGCGGGCCCTGGGTCTGATGGGTCCAGTTCAGGCTCTGAGGCCTGCCTCTCTCGAGTACATGGCTGTCCCGCCAGAGCTCAGGTGTGGGGTGAAGATGGCCCTGCTCAACTCTCCCGGGCTAGGAGGCAAGCGGGGAGGCGGGCTCTTTGGCCAGGAGGAATGCATGTCAGCAAAAACACATGTCTGCACGTCTGCTTCAGGCAGCCTTGTGCCTAAACCTGTTTGCATCATCTGTGCTGTCCAAGGTTTGTGGGTGGGCGGGGGTGATGTGTGGTTTATAAAGAATGGGCAAGACTTATCACAGAATGTGCTTGAGTGAGTGGACACCCCCCTCCCCTGAGGTCTGGGTGGTATCTGCTTACCTGCTCTCAGGGCGGGGACCCCAAGGCGAACAGAATGAGACGCCCGCCAGGACCATCACACCACCTCTGAGGGGCAGTCCCGTCCTAGCAGGAAGAGCACACGCTGAGGAGAAAGTCCAACCAGGAACCAGCCTTCCCTCCAAGAAACTGAAGGGAAAGATTCCAGGGACATCCGTCATGCTCGTGTGTCACGGGTCTCTTGGAGAACTCTGTGGGTGATGGATGAACAGAGCCTGTCTGGCTGCCTTCTGCACTTTGTGGATTTCGTGCTGGAGCTCCTCGGGTCCTGTTTGCAGGCTGCCGGCAGGGGGACTGTGAACATGTGTGGTGTGCATGCAGAGGTGGGTCCAAGAAGGGTAGCTCTTTGCAGGATGAGGTGTTTTGAACTCAGAGTGAGAGCCTGGGCATCCGAAACTTTCCTGGCACTTTGGGACGAGGCACAGTCAGGCCGAGTGCAGATTTGAGGGGCAATGGTGCTGAGTTTGAAGGAAAGGAAGCTTCCTTGGGTAGCAGGGACGTGGGGTCCGGTTGGTTAGTAGAGGCACCAACAGCAAGTCAGTAGACTAGCCCGTGGGTCAGCCCAAAGTTTCCTTCTTTTTCTGTGTGGTCGTACATTGTCACATGAGCAGAAAGGTTTCTGTACATGCGAAATGTGAAAGGAAAACACGGCCACGCAAGCAGATGTGATGGAGGGAGCGGTTGACGTGGTAGAATGAGCCATGTGGTGATGGTCCCGTAAGTCCGCATCTGCATCTGGTCCTGGATTTGTCTGGGGCCGAGTTCTGCGGCCTTGCAGAATCCCCGCCTGGCGGGCAGTAATAAGTCTGTCTCCACGCACTTTGAAATCCTCGCATGAGCGGAGGTTACGGTTGTCCAGGCGCCTTCCAAAATGGTGGTTGGTTCGCAGAAACACGCCCACCTTTTCCAGGCTCAGGGCAACGTCCTGCTTATCACATTTCAAAGAGCCTCAGGGTGCGAGTGCCCTGACCCGCCTTCAGAGAGGGCCCAGCCGTGCTCACCCCGCAGGCCCTAGAGGGGACCGCACACAGCCCCGGTTGCTGCAGGTCCTCCAGGCCCGTGCCCAGACCTCCCTGGGTGCAGGGCAGGGGAGCAGAGGGGAGGGCCCAGGGAGCAGTGTCTATAGAGCGGGGGGCTTTCAGCCTCGGGCCTTCCACCCTGGACTGGAGTCCATTTCTTACATGAACTTGGAGCAGGAGGCTTTACAAATGCTTTTCCCAGCTGGTCCAGCTGTATATCCTTAGATGACTGGCCATCCTCTTTAGGACAATGAGTTTCTCACAATTAAAGCCTGACTTCGTAAATACATTTTCTTGGATGAATTGGGGGTGGACGTGATGGTGGTCATTTCAGTTTTTTTTTTAAATGGTGGTAAAATACACATGATGTGAAATTCACCATCCTAACCGTTTCTAAGCGCACAAGCCGGTGGTATTGAGAACATGCGTATGGCCATGTAGCAGTCTCCACCCTCCGTCCCCAACGCCTTGGCCCCCTACTGGTCAGGGTCACCTGCGCCTGTCCTCATGTGTCTGGCTTCTGGCACTGAGCATCACGTCCTCAAGGTTCATGCGTGTGTAAGCAGGTGCTGGAATGCCCCTCTGGTTCGAGGCTGAGTCGCCGTCGGTGGACACAGGTTGCTCTCGCCTGTTGGCTGTGTGAGCACAGACCCAGAAGTAGGATTTCTGGACCACATGCTAATTCTGGATTTGATTTTTTGCATGACTGAATTTCAGTTCTTTTTCCTGCCAGAAGTGCTCACGGAGGATGACAGGTGGGAGTAGCGCATGATAGGATTTCCCCAGCGTGTTTGTCCTTAATCCTATGCACAGTCACAGTCACTATGGCAGAGCTGCTGCTGCCCGCTGGCATTGGCTCTGATGTG